TAGTTTCCATTGTATAAATAAATGTGCCACAGCTTTTTTATCCTCTCATTTATTGATGGACACTTGGACTATTTCCAGATCTTGGCAATTGTAAATAGTGCTATGAACATAGGGGTACATATATTCTTTCTGATTGGTGTTTCAGGCTTGTTAGGATGTATTCCTAGAAGTGAGATCACTGGGTCAAATGGCAGTTCAATTTTTAATTTTTTTTTTTTTTGTATGTGCCCTTAGCGGGAACTGAATGAACCCAGAACTCTGGTCCACAGGACGACGCTTCAACCACTGAGCAAAACCAGCCAGGGCTCAATTTTTAATTTTTTGAGGACACACCATATTGTTTTCCATAGTGGTTGTACTAGTCTGCATTCCCACCAGCAGTGTACGAGAGTCCCCTTTTCTCCACACCCTCACCAGCACTTGTTGTTTGATGATTTGTTGATGGCAGCCATTCTGGCAGGTGTGAGGTGATACTTCATAGTTGTTTTAATTTGCATCTCTCTGATGATTAGTGACGTTGAGCATTTTTTCAAATGTCTCTTGGTCATTTGTATGTCCTATTTAGAGAGGTGTCTGTTTAGGTCCTCTGCCCATTTTTTGATTGGGTTCTTAGTCTTCTGTTGAATTGTATCCTTGATTTTTTATAAAGGAAGGGAGGGAAGGAAAAATAATGCAGTATTTAAAAAAAAAGTTTTTTTGTTTTTGTTTTTGTTAATCCTCACCCGAGGATATTTTTCTATTGATTTTTAGAGGGAGTGGAAGGGAGGGAGAGAGAGAGAGAAACATAGATGGGAGAGAGACACATTGATTGGTTGCCTCCCACACAAGCCCAGCCAGGCTGGGGATCGAACCTGCAACCCTTGATCCGGGGATTGAATGCACAGCCCTTTAGTCCAGGCCTTTGCTCTAATCGCTGATCCAAACCAGCCAGGGTGCAGTGTTAAAATTTTTAAAAATTCAATTTAAATAAATGTAATACAACTAAAATTCAATTTAAATTTAAAAATTCAATATAAAACTAGAACATAAAGATTTATTTTTTAAACCAAATCCCTTTGTTAGAGATTTTATCCTTTTTTAATATAAATATTGATATATATGTGCATAAATTATATACAACCAGATAATGCTTTAAACAAAAATGAGATTTTTTTATGTGGTTCTGCATTTTTGTTTTATTTATTTATTTCTCAATAGTTCTAGGAAAGAAAGAATTATCCTATGTAATAGCAAACACAGGCTGTTGGGAAAGAAGCTTTGACATGGATGGGGAACTTTTACACTTTCTATCTAATCTTACTCTAATCATCATTAATTAACATGGAGCATTGTTGTGGTTACATGTTGGCCAAGAATTCAGTAAGCCAACTTAATGACTGTTACCCATATTGAGAGGGTCATTAAATGTCTTTATTTATTGTAATGTATATAAATAATCTGGCAAATTTTTTTAGTTTTGATAACACATACTTATAAGAAGATATCATTTTGACTGTCACTTTTTTTTTTTAATTTTTATTTTTTTATCTTTATTGTTGAATGTATTACAGATGTTCCTCATTTTCCCCCCATTGACCCCCTCCTCCCCACTCCCACCCCATTCCTGCCTTTTCCCACGCTGTTGTCTGTGTCCATTGGTTATGCATATACGTTTAGTTTATTTCTTCCCACCCCCCAACCCTCTTCTCTTTGAGGTTTGTCAGTCTAGCAACCAATTTGTTCTTCTTAATCCCATCACCTTTTTTGCCCATTCCCCCAAACCCTCTCCCATCTGGCAACCAACAAAATGTTCTCTGTATCTATGAGAATGTTTCTGTTCTGCCTGTTCATTTTGTTTATAGATTGAATTGTCGATAGATATGTATTCATTGCCATTTTGTTTGTTCATATATTTTATCTTTTTCTTCAAAAAGACCCTTCAGCATTTTATATAATAACTGTTTGGTGGTGATGAACTCCTTTAACTTTTTCTTGTCTGGGAAACTCTTTATATGGCCATCGATTCTAAATGACAGCTTTGCAGGATAGAGTAATCTTGGTTGTAGATTCTTGTTTTTCATCACTGTGAATATTTCTTGCCACTCCCTTCTGGTCTGCAAAGTTTCTTTTGAGAAATCAGCTGACAGCCTTATGGGAACTCCCTTGTAGGTAACTAACTGCTATTCTCTTGCTGCTTTTAAGATTCTCTCTTTGTCTTGAACCTTTTGCATTTTGATGATGATGTGTCTTGGTGTGGGCCTCTTGGGGTTCATCTTGTTTGGGACTCTCTGTGCTTCCTGGACTTGTATGTCTGTTTCCTTCACCAAATTAGGGAAGTTTTCTGCCATTATTGTTTCAAAGAGGTTTTCGGTTTCTTGTTCTCTCTCTTCTTCTTCTGGCACCCCCAAGATGCGAATGTTGGCACGCTTGAAGTTGTCCCAGAGGCTCCTTACACTATCCTCATGTTTTGGGCTTCTTTTTTCTTTTTGCTTTTCTTTTTTTTTTATCCTCACCCGAGGACATTTTTTTTGATGTTTTGTTCAGATAGAGTGGGAAGGAGAGAGAGAGAGAGAGAAACATCGATGTGAAAGGGACACATCGAGTGGTCGCCACCCACACGACCCAACCAGGGCTGGGGACAAACTGCAACCGAAGTATGTGGTCTTAGCGAGAACCGAACCCGGGTCTCTCCAGACCGCAGGTCGATGCTCTAACCACTGACCCAAACTGGCCAGGGCTCTTTTTGCTTTTCTGATTGGGTGTTTTGTGTTTCCTTAGATTCCAAATCTATGGTTTGCTTCTTGGCTTTACCTACTCTACTATTGAATTTTTGTAAATTATTCTTTATTTCAGTTAGTGCCACCTTCATTTCTGACTGTGCATCCTTCATTTCTGACTGGTCCTTTTTTATGCTCTTGAGGCCCTCACTAAGTTCACTGAGCATCCTTATAAGCAGTATTTTGAACTCAGCATCTGTTAGATTGCTTATCTCCATTTTGCTTAGTTCTTTTCCTGGAGATTTTTTCTGTTTTTTCATTTGGGACCTGTTTCTTTGTCTCCTCATTTTGGCTGCCTCTCTGTGTTTGTTTCTATGTATTACTTAATGAGAGATATGGGGCTCACTGAGACCAGATGCTGCTTGTTTGAAAGAATTCAGGAAAACCTGAAGCAGGATCCAAGACAGGCCAATCCTATGGTTAAGCAACTGGCAACAGCTTGGGTGGGCCTGAAAGTTGGGTGGTGATTCAGGGAATCACCAGGGCGAGGCAACCAGTGTGAGCCAGGTTGCTGGAGTCCCATATATGGCCACTGTCTGCCGCCCCAGGGAAGGGCTCACCAAAGGAACAAAGGCCTCTTACAGCACCTTTGTCCTGGAGAAAGCCCTCTCTCCAGCCCTCGCTCCAATGCCAAACAGCTCAGTTCTTCCCTGTATGTCTCTGGTGCCCCTCGAGCTGCCATCCCTCTAAGCTTAGAGGGAGAGAGTCCGATAAGTCCGTGCGCGGGCCCTTTAAGAGGAGCTGCCTGGGGCTCCAGCCGCCTCAGCCTCCCTGAGCCTCAGTTCCCACTGGTTTTTTCAGCCAGAAGTTATGGGGACTTCTCTTCCTGGCACTGGAACCCTGAGTGGGGTTTCTGGTGTGGGACAGGGACCCCTCAATTCTCAGAGAGGACCTTCCCAACCAAGGTATCCTCCTGATTTTTATCCACCACATTTGGGTATGGGAACAGCCAGTCACGCCTCCGCCCCTTTTACCAGTCTCGATGTGGCTACTTCTTTAATTCCGTAGTTGTAGGACTTCCATTCAGCTTGATTTCTGTAGTTTAGTTGTAACTTTGATGTGGTTGTGGGAGGACGCAATACCGCGTTTACCTACGCTGCCATCTTCGACTGTCGCTTTTTAGACTTCACCTATAAAATACTTCAGAATTGGGTAATATACCCTGTATAGCAATATCAGAAGACCTTGATACTATTCACTTTTCTATTACTAAATCATTGTTTAACTGTGGAAAACTTTTTCTTCCGAAATTAAAAAATATTTTTTGGCATTTATAATTTTCCGTGTACATCCATTTACTAAGAAGTAGTTTTCAAATATTATGGCTATTACTCAAGTGTTATACCAATGGGTAGTCATATCCCTTTAGGCCAGTGACTGTCAACCTTTTTTATCTCATGGCACACATAAACTGATTACTGAAATTCTGCGGCACACCCAAAATATATATTTTGCCAATCTGACCAAAAATAGGTATAGTTTTGATTCATTTGCAGAGGATGGCCTTTGTTGTGTTGGCTGTTTTGTCATTTTCTTATTTGACAGTCTAAGGGAAAAGAGGTCAGTGCCCTTGATTAGTCAGAAATTGCATGTTTTAAAAATTCTTGTGGCACACTAGTTGAAAATCACTGCCTTAGGCTAGGCTGAATTAGATATTGGCAATATCTGTAGCTTCATCTCCATGGGAAGTCATCCTCAAAATCTTTTGTTCCTGTGTTTTACACAGGTTTGGTCAAGTCTTTTTAACTGGATCTTAATTTTCTCATTTGTAAAACAAAATCATTTGGCTGAAGATGGTAGAATTAATTATGTATGAATGACTTAAAGGTTTTTTTTTTTTTGTTTTTTTTTTAATCCTCACCCAAGGATATTTTTCCATTTTTTGTACAGATAGAATGGGAGGGAGAGAGAAGAAGGGAGAGAGAGAGAGAAACATCGACGTGAAGGGACACATCGAGTGGCTGCCACCCGCACGACCAACCAGGGCCGGGGACAAACTGCAACCGAAGTACGTGCCCTTAGCGGGAACCGAACCCGGGTCTCTCCAGACCGCAGGCCGACGCTCTAACCGCTGAGCCAAACCAGCCAGGGCTGACTTAAAGGTTTTTAAAACACTTCATTTTTTTAAGGAGGGCACCATTATGAATCTATGAGTGTTTTAAAACAAACAGATAAGGAAGTTTTTAGAATTGTTTCAAAATAAATGTTTAAATTTTTGTATTAATTCTATTTTTCTCCCTAAAGCTCCTAAAAGACGGCGGCCTGCACGTTCAATATTTGATGGTTTCCGGGATTTTCAAACCGAAACTAGTAGGTATCTATGGATCAGTTTATCCTTCGTCTCTCTGTCTGTCTCTCCTTGTCTTCCTCTCCTTTCCTTTTCCCTCTCTCTCCCACATATAAAACCACGCACCTATATACTCACCTACAGGTCAAGATCTTAGTTTCATTTATATATTTTTTCTTAAAAAGAAAAAGATGATTAATATAAAGTCTGATTACTCTGAGGAGTCACCTTATTTTAAAAGTAAAGTTATGAATTTAGTTCATGATTGTTATTAATTCCCCCAGGGCTGAATTGTTCTAAATTTTAACCTACTCCATGATGGAGGAATAATAAGAGATGGAGATAGTATAAAAATTAGGTAATTTACAAACTTAATGAGTTTGAATGAACAGTTAAATACTGACTATAATAAAATAAAAAACTGATTACCCTCAAGATCCTAGTATCTGTCAATTAAAGCAATGACCACAATGAAAATGGTTATTGTAGGAGAATTGAAAAATAGAAGAGAAAACCACACCACCCAAAGCAGCCAGTATTAACATTTTGGCTACAGCTGTTTAGGTTTATATCTTTTTGTGAAATAAGATAGAATGAAAATCTTGACCTTATACTTTTAGAGGAATCAGTACTGATTTAGCAATGGAATTCTAAAGAAAAGGACAATTATGTTTAAAGAATATATGAGAAACTCTTGGACCACGTTAGATTTTGTAGTTGATTTATAATGAGCTCATTGAAGCACAAGTACATCTTGTAACTTTTGAGAGTGTTACAGGGGAACCTAAACTAACTAAGGTCATCTAGAGATTCCTGTGCCTTGCCAGGAGAAGGTGATAGCAGTTGCCATTCTTGCTTACTACTAGAAACTTTAAAGATTGGGAATATAGCTAGAAACTACAGATAAATTAGGATCACTTTTAGAACTAGATAAATGGAGTTGCAAGTTTTCTCCTATGCTAAAGCTAGTTTTGAATATGTGAAGGAAATAGTTGGATTGTGTAACTGTCATATAAATTTCTGCTTTTATCCTTACTTTGGGATAGAAAGCCACCACCAAGTCCTAATACCTCCCTCCCTACCTTGCTTTGTATGTTTTTCAGAATCATCATATAATATGTGCGTTGAGGTCATGCACAGTGTACAGTGATTCTTGCAATTGATACATGTATATATTGCGAGATTTATGCCTTTATGTTATGGTTAGTTAAAACTTTCTCATCCTCTTATGTTTCAGTTCGGCAAGAACAGGAATTAAGAAATGGAGGAGCAATAGATAAGAAACTAACTACCCTTGCAGATCTGTTCCGGCCACCCATTGATTTGATGCATAAAGGCAGCTTTGAAACAGTAAGTAGTTGGAAATTCTAAGCTTTAGCTATGAATGTTTAGCATTTTTAATGCCATTGTTTTTTCTTCTGAGAAAACAGTTTCAGCATACTGATAGAGAATTGGCATCTTAATAAGTATGATGTGAGATATACGTAAAAGGTCACATTAATTTGTATTTCTACCAGCAGTATATGAGATTGCTTGATAAAATCATTTTATTATCCTGTGTGGTATCATTTTAGAATCTGTGCCATTTTGATAGTTTTATATTTTATTTTATTTATTTTTAAAATATGTTTATTGACTTTTTAGAGAGTGAGGAAGGGAGAGAGAGCTAGATAAATTGATGAGAGAGAAACATTGGTCAGCTGCCTCCTGCACACCCCCTACTGGGGATCAATCCTGAAACCCCGGGCATGTTCCCTCAACAGGAATCAAACTGGGACCTCTCAGTCCATGGTGTGGTGCTCAGTCCACTGAGCCACACCAGCCAGGCGATAGTTCTTTTTTTAATCTTTTAAAAAGTGTATATATCTTTGATTACTACTGAGAATAGTGTGTGTGTGTGTGTGTGTGTGTGTGTGTGATTTGTGAATTGATGGAGGTATCTTTGCCCACATTTCTAGGGGGTTCCTAGTATGTACGTATGTATGTATGTATTTATTTATTTATTTTTCCTCACCTGAGGACATTTTTGCATTTATCTTCAGATAGAGTAGGAGGGAGAGAGGGAGAAAGAGAGAGAGCAACATCGATGTGAGAGAGATGACAACCCCACAACCCCAACTGGGGCTGGGGACAAACTGCAACTGAGGTACGTGCCCTTAGTGGGAACCAAACCCAGGACTGCCTGGTCCGTGGGCCAACACTCTTAACCACTGAGCCAAACCGGCCAGGGCCCTAGTGCATTTTAAAAGAATATCTCTCGTTGCAGAATATATTCTCACCCAGTTCTTGGCTTCAACTTGGCTAATGCTAAAGAAAAACTTTCCAGAGCAAGTTTATTTGATTATCTGCTAAATTATAAGCTTAATAATAAGGGCAAGGCAGAACGTGCTTCTTTTTATTTTGGTAAACCATGGGACCTGGTTTCTGGCATTTAATAAGACCTAGTATTGCTAAATGGGTTTAGTTAGGATTTTAAATATTTTTCTGTTGAGGTGTTCAGCTTGCTTTTGTGCATTGACTAGATCTTTTGCATCAGAATGGCATTCGCATAGAGGTAAGTCACTTAAATTTCTGATAAGTCTTATCTGTTAGAATAAAGAAGGCCAAACAGTAACCACAAAAGTGATGTTAGTAGCTATAGCTACATATGTTAAAGTGAATTATGATTGTTTTTAAAAAATGTTTTTTCTGCCCTGGCCGGTTTGGCTCAGCGGTTAGAGCCTTGGCCTGCGGTCTGGAGAGACCCGGGTTCGGTTTCCGCTAAGGGCACGTACCTCGGTTGCAGTTTTCCCTGGCCCTGGTTGGGTTGTGTGGGTGGCAACTACTCGATGTGTTCCTTTCATCGGTGTTTCTCTCTCTCCCCCTCCCACTCTATCTGAACAAAATATAAAAAAAAAAAAAAAATGTTTTTTCCTTGACATATTCTTATACTAGCCTAATTAAGTATTTAGGGTAAGAAATTTAACCATAAGCTTGTTCTTCAGTTTTAATTTTCTGAATTGTAAAACCTGAAAATGTTTGGCTGCATATGACAGAAAATCCAAATAATGGTGAATTGGTTTCTTTTTGTCATGTAAAGAGGTCTAGCCCAGTTGGTGTGGCTCAGTGGATTGAGCTATCCTCCCATGGAATGAGAGGTCCCAGTTCAGTTCCTGGTCAGGGCACATGCCTGGGTTTCAGGCTCCATCCCCAGTAGGGGGTGAACTGGAGGCAGCCAGTCAATGTTTCTCTCTCACATAGATGTTTCTCTCTCTCTAAAAAATCAATAAAAACATATTTTAAAAAAAAGTATAGAGTTGAAGGAGTCTTTGATGTTTATCAGCTTAAAGATGTCAGGTTAGCCCTGGCCAGTTTGGCTCAGCGGTTAGAGCGTCCGCCTGCGGTCCGGAGAGACCTGGGTTCGGTTCCCGCTAAGGGCATGTACCTTGGTTGCAGTTTGTCCCCAGCCCTGGTTGGTCGTGCGGGTGGCAGCCCCTCGATGTGTCCCTTTCGCGTCGATGTTTCCCTCTCTCTCTCTTCCTCTCTCTCCCTCCCACTCTGTCTGTACAGAAGATGGAAAAATGTCCTCAGGTGAGGATAAAAAAATAAATAAATAAAGATGTCAGGTTAGATGCCTCCTTAGTTTTCTGTTTTTTTCCTCATGATCTTAACATGGCAGCCACCTATCCTTTCTAGTGTTCCAGGAGCTTCTCTGCCTATCCTTTCTAATATTATAATGATAATACAGCCATTGAGGGAGAAGAGCAGCAATGTGGAAGACAAAAATTATCTGAGTTTGTTTTGACATGTTTTCTTCTTCATTAGCTTTTGAGTTGCTCTCAGGGTTTAATAAAATAACTCTGAGCATGATTTAATATGGTCAGTTCAGGCTCATAAAAAGCAGTTACTCTGCTGCTTGTTCATTAAGGGAAAATGTGAATCTTTTTTGAAATTGTCATCTGAAGTTTGATTCATATTTTAAAGTTATATCACCTTTTTTTTCTTGGTATTTTATACCTGTATTGTTTGCAATAATCTATTTATGTTTTCACTAATACTAAACTTTATCATTTATGAGTCTTTAAATGCCATTAATACTCCCAGGAAAAGTAGGTATTTCATTATAACTTGTGATATATCTATTAGTTTTATATAAATTGGAGGTAATATACAAAATTAAGTCATTGAAGTTTAGAGAGGAGAATGTTAAAAATTATAGGGATGTCTTTGGTTACTCAGGCAGAGCCCATAGGTTTGGGCACAATATTAGATGTAGATCTGAGACCTAGTTTTACAGGTTTAGAAACTAGACTTTCTTAGTGTAACTAGAGGTAGACCATATTCAAAGGTTCTGAAGAGACTGATTAATTTACTTGTTCATTTACTAGTTATCTTTTTTTAAAAAAATATTTTTAGTTTATTGATTTAAGGAGAGAGGAAGGGAGAGGGAGAGACAGAAACATCAGTGAGAGAGAACATCAACTGGCTGCCTTCTGCACACGCCTCACCGGGGACTAGGCCCACAACCTGGGCATGTGTCCTGATTGGGAATCAAACCGGTGACCTCTTGGTGCATGGGTTGATGCTCAACCACTGAGCCCAACCAAGCAGACTATTGAGGCCTCCTTCTGTAGGACCTTGTTCTAGTGATAGGGATTATTTTTGTTGGGTTAAAGATTTTACCACACATGAGAGAGACCATCTTAAACAAGATAGAAATCTAGGCGGTAAGAATGGTTCTACTGTGTGAAGTTACCAGCAGTGCAAATTTTTTGGTCTTTTTCTTTTATTTCTTAGGTCTTGCTTGCCTTTGTCCACACGATTCAAGGTGGCTTAACACCATGTTTGCTTTCCAGCGAGAATGAAGGAGGGAGGGGGCTGAGAAGGGGACACCTTTTCCCTTTAAAGACATAACCTAGGAGTTGTACACATCACTTCTGCTTACATTCCATTGACCAGAACTTGGGCATATGGCTACACCTAGCTGCAAGGGACACTGGAAATCCAGGTGCTTAGCTAAAAATTGGAGGCTCTGTTACTAAGAGGAACAAGAGGAAAATGGCTATTTGGTACCTATAAGCAGTTTCTGCCACAGGAAGACAGTGGTAAGCAAATTGCGCAAAGTCCTTGCCATGAAGGAGTTTATAACCAAGAGGGAGAAACAGACTATAAACAAATATATATATATATATATTTAGTGTGTGTATATATATTGTGTGTGTGTGTGTATAGAGAGAGATAGGTTGTAATTGTTAGGTTAAAGTATGTGGTGGGAGAAAATAAAATAGAATTAAGGGCAGGAGAGAGGACAATTTTTTGTTTGTTTGGAGCCACTAAAGTGCATGTGTACTTACAAGCAAAATTAAAAGCAGGGCTGATTTCATAAGTTTCACATGTTTGTAATTGTGAGCAGAGAGAACGGTTTTGTTTAAAAAAATTTTTTTTAAATAATTTCTTTTTATTGATTTTAGAAAGAGAGGAAAGGAGAGGGAGAGATAGAAGCATTGATGAGAGAGAACATCGATTGGCTGACTCCTGCATGCCTTCCTCAGGGGATCAGGCCCACAACCTGGGCATGTATCCTGACTGGGAATTGAACCAGCGACCTCTTGGTGCTTGGGTTGACACGCGACCACTGAGCCACACCAGCCGGGCAGAGAGCAGTGTTTTAGATAGGAAGATCAGGGAAGATTCTGATGGATGAGATTTGAGTAGAAGCCTGAAAGAAGTGAAGGAATGTAACCAAAGGAACATACAAGGAAGAGCAGATAGTAAGATACTGATGTTAGAAGGAACTAAGGTGTGTTTCTGGTACAGCCAAGGAAATCAGTATAGCTGGAGCTGAGTTACCTACTTAGGATGAATGATCTGACCTGAGCAAGGGAACATTTAGCCTAAAAGTTCTATGAATACAGGAACTTTGTTTTCTTTATTGTATTTAACGCCTAGAAGAGCTTTTAACACATAATTGGCCTTCATTAAATCTTTGTTAAATGACTCAGTGGCATAATCTGGAGTATATTGTACAGAAAGAATCAGAACAATTTCCATAATATTCCTTCTTTTCATAAGAAATGCACATTTGCCCTGGCCGGTTTGGCTCAGTGGAAGAGCATGGGCCCGCAGATCATTGAATCATGGGTTCGATTCCGGCCAAGGGCATAAACCTTGGTTGCGATTCTTCTCAGCCCTGGTCAGGGTCGTGTGGAAGGCAACCAACCAGTCAATGTTTCTCTCTCTCCTCTTTCCCACTCTCCCCTTTCCACTCTGTCTGAAGATAAATAGAAAAATATCCTCAGGTGAGGATTTAAAAAAAAGAAATCATATTTATTTGTTGCCATTTAATTACACATGTACCTAGTCTTAATTACTAAGAATACTTTGTTAATTTCAAAAGTCCTGCTATAAATGCAAGTAAAAATATTTTAGCTAAAAATGTAAAGAACCAATTTAGGAACAAAATATGTAAGCTAAACTTTAAAAAAATTTTATGTATAGTTTATGTTTTATTCAAATTTGGCAAATATAGAAAAATTAGAAAACTAGTAAGGAAAAATTGTAAAATCGTAATTTCCATTAAAAAGTACTGTGCATATTATTTTAATATATTTCCTTCTTGACTTTATGCATATCATGGAAACAAATATTTTTTCCCTCTATATCTTTTTTCCCCCCTTACTTTACTGATCTGTCTGGGACTGGGAAAGATACTAATCTCCCACTGTTTCCACCTTGTCACAGATAAGCCACATCACATACCTCTCTATTTGTAGCCATAACTTGTCCTGTGGTCTCCATATAATGGCTTTTGAATATTCATTCACAACAAAACCTAATAGATTCCAATAGGGAGGGTTCATCATTTGTCCTATGGTCCGCTCTTACCTGTAGTTCTTGACCCATATAATTGGAATACTTAGTGAGATTGTGTAAGACTCTCTTATATTCCCTCTAAATATTTTTGCTTTGCATAAAATTTATATCTTCTTTGGGCCTTTCTTTCCAGCAGTAATTTCTTAACAGTATCCTCAGTTTCTTGTGCTGAATGTATACTTTATGAAGGCAGGAATTTTTGTGTTTTGGTAACAGCTGTAATTCCAGCATCTATAGCTGTACCTGAAACAAATAAGGATTTGTTGAATGGGTGAATTTGAATTAATGAAAGCATGAATGTGAATAAATGAATTTTTAAAAACAAAAGCAAATGACTCCGTTTTTAACTCTTGACTTTTATTTTTTTCTTGTCCATATTGTAGTTTAGGCAGACTTGTTATAGAGATAAGTACTCTCCCATCTGTTTCTCCAAAAATGTGTGTTAATTTTTTTTTATTCTCAAGTACTCTTCTTCAGTTAAGACAGTATAATTACTCATTTATCACCCATTTATTAAATCTATGTGCATACTGTAGGTAAGGAAATAGGTTGAACACTATTACTTCCTAGGAGTAAGGAGTAATTTTATTACATTTGTATACTTTATAATAAGCTTTTGATCAGTTAAATACTGCTTTCTGGCTCAATACAGGGATACTTCCTTTTTGAATTTGGATTTTCACCTGTGGGATCAGCAGTGAATATTAGAAAATGATTTTCTCTGAGGGATTGATACCAAAAAATAGGATAACAGTATCTGTAAGACTGTGTAAACCTTCTTAAAGCAGAAGATAGTCTTACATTATCCAGTACCTCCAAAAAGATGTATGTTCTTCAACTGTTATTAACCTGTGTTAATTGAAGATTTTTCTTTGTCATACTGATATAGAAAACAATATTGTTACAAGACAAAATTACTCAAAACGATGGCTTTCATTTCATTATTCCAATGCAAAGGTTTAAGGAAGAATTTGCTCTTTTGCTTTTCTGCTAAACATTTTGTATTCAGCAACATTTTTAGGTTTGTATGGTGATGAGGAACTGTTAGGCAAAAAGTACACACTCATCATTAATATTTGTGCTATAAATTGGGGGATCTTTTAAAGACCACTATAATCTCATTTTTAAAAAATCTACTCCTAGAATAACAACCCTAAGAGAAAAAACCTTCAGCAGCTTTTACAGAAATGGTTAGGGTAAATCTCTAAAATAGCACATGCCTAATAGTTGAGATGAATATGATATTTGGAATGTGGATAGATATGATGTTGAAGAAAATATAATGACATAAAGTAATATACACACACCGGTTACATCTATTAAAAAAGAGATGATATATTTGTGGGTAGGGGTTGAAAAGACATTGCGATAGAATTATGTGACTTGTTGACCTTAAGCTTGTATCGTTTTTTTCAGATGTTTAAATGTACAATAAAAATATAGCCATTATAACAATAATAATTTATTTAAATTTGAAAAATGCTGAAGAATGGACAGTATAATTATACATACCTATGCAAATTAATGTAAATAACATATAGACACCAAAAACTCTAGATGTCATATTTGAGGGAAAAAACTTAGTAATATTTAAATGAAAAGATGACAGTGTCTGAACTCTGAAACATATCAGTTACCAACTAGAAATTATTTCTAACACATGTTGCGTAATTTGACTCTTACAGGCCAAAGAGTGTGGCCAGATGCAGAATAAGTGGCTGATGATAAACATTCAAAATGTACAAGACTTTGCATGCCAGTGCCTCAACCGTGATGTGTGGAGCAATGAAGCTGTGAAGAATATTATCCGGGAACATTTCATTTTCTGGCAGGTGAGGAGAGTTCATCAGAGTTTTAGTAGTATTTTATTTTTGTAGTATGGGGTGTTGAGAGGGAGGAATTCAGTTATAAACTGAAAAAAATTAATAACTTGGACTTAAATTATGACATATTAAAAGGTAAAACCACCCATAATGGCTGAAATAGTAAGGACAAGTAAAAATTAGGGCAGGAATGAAGAACACCCAAGGGAAGGGAAAAAGGAACCAAACTATATAACCATATAATATTTGTATCTCAGAAGAGCTTAAATATCTTGATAGAGTATGCAACTATACTGTTCAATAGGAATATAATGTGAGCCACATATATAATTAAAAATGTTCTAGTAGCCCTGGCTGGTGTGGCTCAGTTGTTGGAGCGTCGGCCTGTGGACCAAAGGGTCTTGGTTTCAATTCCTGGCCAAGGGCACATACCTGGGTTGCAGTTTCAATCCCTGCCCTGGTCAGAGTGCATGTGGGAGGCAACCAATCGATGTGTCTCTCTCACATTGATGTTTCTTTTTCTCTCTCTCTCTCTTTCCCTCCATTCCTCCACTCCCCTTCCTCCTTTTTCTAAAGATTAGTCGAAAAAATATTCCCCTGTGAGGATTAACAACAAAAGAATGTTCTATTAGCCATATTTAAAAAGGTCAAAAGAAGCAGGTGAAATTAATTTTAATATATTTTAAGAACAATATATCTAATATCAAACTAATATTAAAATATTAATGAGATGTTTTGATTTTTTGTGTATGTGTAAGTCTTCAAGATCTGGTGTGTATATTTTATACTTACAGAACTGCTCAGTTCAGACTAGCCACATTTCAAATACTTCGATAGCACATGTGGTGGTGGCTACTATAATTGACAGGGCGGATATACAACTGTACATCTTCAGTAATGGAAAAACATTTGACTAAGACTTGGATTTTAGCTTGAGTTTGATACTTTTTAACTATATATCCTTAGGCTTGTCATTTAATCTTGCTGGCTCTACTTTTTTTTTAAGATATAAATTATCAAGTCAAGATTAGATAATCTTGCTCAAATTTTTTATTTTATGAAAACTTATAGAAAATAAAAATGTCTGAATGAACTTAAATTTTTTTCACTATAAGATACGCAATTAATGTTATTAATTTAATCGTTCATGTTTTCAGGTCCCCTAAATTCAATATTTTTTTCTGAATGGTAATCTTTTATTCAGCAGCTATTGATTGAGCATCTCTTTGCCCAGCACTATGCTAGCTACTTGAGCTTATCACCTTAAATGTGGTGGTTTTTTAAGACGTATATGATAGTGTTAGGAATGACATAGGACAGAAAGAGCACTAACTTGATCAGAAAATACAAATCTCTTCTGAACTGGGAAGGGAGGAAAAATGGATTGATTCAAAAGTTTCCAGAGGGACTGGGGGCAGGAAGTTGAGGGAGTTCACACCAGATAACCTTCATTTTTCTCTTTAATGTAGGAATGAAATTTTAATATATGCCAAAGGTATATTTGGAGAATTAATTGTGGTCGGTATATAACAAGGATATAGTTGATACTTTTTTTAGAGGTTGACTTTTTTTTATATCAATGATTTAACAGGTTTATCACGACAGTGAGGAAGGTCAGAGATACATACAGTTTTATAAGCTAGGGGATTTCCCCTATGTTTCCATCTTGGATCCACGGACAGGTAATATTTATTTTATATTAGCTTACAGCATTTGACCTATGACTTATTTTTTTGTTACCCTGCATATTGATCTTTAATATTTGACTGGATTCAGTTTCAGAATTCTTTGTAGTAATTTAGATGAAGGTTTTTTATTCATGCCCTTTAAAATTATTTAAACATGTATTGAAATGTGATAGGGCATTTGTTTCTGACAGTTTTGGGAGATGATAGTATTTTATATTTGCAGTTAACTGTTTTATCTTTCTTGCCATATTCTAGGAGATTCCCTTAGGTTTTCTATTATTAAAATATTAAGACTGTTCAGGTACTGGTTGTAATCCTACCAGAGAAGCAGAGGGTAGAGCTGGTTTTAATAATAATGAATTAAGTTTTATCAAGGTTTTGCTTTCTTTGAATCTCTTCTTCCTAAATGCCCATTAAGTGATATCAGCAGATAAAGAAGTTGCCTGGTAGCTGGCAATCTTAGGTTGGCTATAATTAATGTATTCTTTAGGTTAGGAAAACATTATGTAACTTAAACTGGTGAAGGATGGAGTATGTGTTCCCAATATTTTAATTATGCAAATGCTAAAAAATACTTAATTAGAATGTTGAGAAGGCATGTTGATTTTATTATATTTATATATCCTGGTTTTTAATTTTTAGGTCAGAAGCTAGTAGAGTGGCACCAGTTAGATGTATCTTCTTTCTTGGACCAAGTGACAGGATTTCTGGGTGAACATGGGCAACTGGATGGACTTTCTAGTAGTCCCCCCAAAAAATGTGCCCGTTCAGTAAGTATGACTAAGAAATGATGATGGGCGATTAAGTTGAATTGTATACAAATATCTTGTGTAAAATGTTTGAGGTTAAGATTGTAAAGATAATAATATAAATATTGGACAGTTATAATTTGTGGCTGTATAACATCTTAGATGCCCTCCTTATATTTTGATCATTTCCCACATGCTGATTCTGTCTTCTCAGTGAAATCATAAGATTCATATTCCCAGTCTCCCTTGCAGTTAGGGTACAGGCATGTGACCTAAGACCTGGATTTAGAATTAAACAATATGAATATGTAGCAGTGAGGAGGAGAACTGATTTGGCAAGCCCCAGTGATAGAGGGAGGAATCCACTTCTTTCAAGGGCAGCATTGCCAGGTCTATGCAGCAGTAAAAATGCTATTTTTGCTAGAAAACTCCCATGGCATAGTTGTTCATTATTACTGGTTATATAGCTATAGGGCCTGGCTTTCTAGCCCACCCAGAGATTATTTTTATACTTAATTTTTATAATATGCTATTATTAGGCAGACCTATTTGATAATTGGTATAAAGATTAATTACAAATAATAGACCTACAAAGATAACAGAATTTCATTGCTTGTAGGAGCTGTTAGGGTTTGATTGGCAATGAGGATAAAATTAGTTTTAGAAGGTAAGACTTTAATAGTCAATATCATGCAGTGATGGAACAGTTACTTAAGTAATCATCTGGAATAAAGTGCTCATTTAATGAAAGGCTATTGGTGCTTGCCAGGGGGTGGTATAGAATCCCTCTTCCCCCTATTACTCAGAGCAATTAGTTTAGGTGGACACAGCAGTGCAGAACTAAAACATTATTTCACTTTTATCTATAGACTGTTTTTTTCATTGCTAAGAGAAGTTTTACTTAGATAGAATTCTTTTTTAAGGCATTAAAAAACCCAGAATTTGCCCTGGCCTGTTTGGCTCAGCGGTTAGAGAGTCAGCCTGCGGTCTGGAGAGACCCGGGTTCGGTTCCCACTAAGGGCCCGTCCCTCGGTTGCAGTTTGTCCCCGGCCCTGGTTGGGTCATGTGGTGGCGACCACTTGATGTGTCCCTTTCACGTCGATGTTGCTCTCCCCCCTCCCACTCTATCTGAACAAAATATCAAAAAATGTCCTCGGGTGAAGATAAATAAAAAATTTAAAAAACAACAACCAGAATTTCTAGTTATCATAAGCGAGTTTCTTACCTTTTGCAATCATAAGGCTGATATTGTCAAAAACCAGAGCCTGAGTTATGAGTTGCTGAATTTCAACATAAATTGAGTTTACAACCTTACCAGCTCTCTTATAAAAATTAAGGGACTTAGTGGAAAAGTGTGGGACCATAAAAATTAGACAAATACATAAGATGATTTGGGTGACTTAGTACCTCAGATTCCACTTCTTATACTAAATTATCTGATTATGACAAATTTTGATCAACTGTGTACAAGAGAAACATCAACAAATAATGGTTTAAACAAAGAATACATCTATTTTTCTCAACAAGAAGTCCAGAGGCAAGCAAGCAGTCTAAGGATTGACTGTGTATGTCATCAAGGAACCAGGTTCCTCCTCTTTAATTTCCCCCTTCTGTCCCTAGTATTTTTGGCTTTTGTCCCCATGGTCACAGTTAGATGCTACACTCCTAGGTCCAAGCATGGACATGGAGGAACAGAGTGGTGCCTCTATTACAAAGGTAAACAGTTAGCCATGAATAAGAATTCTGCTTATTTTAGCTGGATACGTTTTCTTGCACAAACATAATTGAGGCTCTGTTAATAAGGAAGCAGGAAGACTGGGGGGAAGATAGGAAATTAAAAGTGTCCATCATAGTGTCATTTAAAAATCAACCTACATGATACATAGGGTTATTTACCTACACTCTCTCCAAGCAAGTCATGTGGGGCACATCTGTTTGCTTTTCTATGTGTGTGATAAATTAGCCTTACGTTTATTATAGTTAAGTTTTTTTATAGCTTTATAATTACTGTAAAATAAACAACACATTTAAAATTTGACAAATGTTAATTATCAGTATCTTTTTTTTTTTTTGACCCTCACCTGAGGACATTTTTGCATTCATCTTCAGATAGAGCGGGAGGGAGATAAGGAGGAAATGAGAGAGAGAGAAACATCGATGTGAAAGAAACACATCGAGTGGTTGCCACCCACACAACCCCAACCGGGTCTGGGGACAAACTGCAACCAAGGTACGTGCCCTTAACGGGAACTGAACCCAGGACTCTCCAGTCTGGGGCCAAAGCTCTAACCTCTGAGCCAAACCAGCCAGGGCTCTTTTTTTTTTTTTTTGATCCTCACCTAAGGATATTTTTACATTAATCTCAGATAGAGCTGGAGGAAGGGTGGGGGGGAGGACATCGATGTGAGATAAACACATTGATTGGTTGCCATCTGTACAACCCCAACCAGGGCCAAGGACAAACCGCAACCAAGATATGTGCCCTTGGCCATAATCAAAACTGGGACTCTTTGGTCCACGAATGACACTCTTACTGCTGAGCCATACCGGCCAGGGTGATATCAGTATCTTTTCATGGTTTTTTTTTTTGTCGTTGTTGTTTTTTTCTATCTCTTTTGATGAAGTGTCAATTCAGATTTATGGCTTATTTTTTTATTGGGTTATATGTCTTACTAAATTGTAAGGCTTCTTCTTCTTTTTTTTTTCCCCTCACTCAAGGATATTTTTTTTTTTTTTTTACTAATTATAGAGAGAGGAGGAGGGGGAGAGAGAAACATTGATTGGTTGCCTCCTGTATGTACCCCAACCAGGGATTGAACATGCAACATAGGTATGTACCCTGACCAGGAATTGAACCCGCAACCCTTTGTTTCCCGGGATGAGCTACTTGGCTAGGGTTGTAAGGTTTTGTTTATATTCTAGGTATAAGTCCTTTCTTGGATATGTGATTTATAGGTATTTTCTTCCAGTGTGTTACTTGTTTATTCATTTCAGTATATGTGCTGCCGAAGCGAGCACTTGTTTATTCATTTCATAATAGTGTCTTTTGAAGAGCAAATTTTAAATTTTTGATGAAGTCTAATTTGTCAACTTTTATATATTGTGCTTTTTTGTTTTATGTAATAAATCTTTTTTTATAGTTTTAGCTCTCGTAAGTCAGTGATCCTTTTTAAATTAATTTTGTATATGGAATTAGGGTAGGGTCTAATTGTTTTTTTTTTGCGTAGTTTGCATGTGGCTATACACTTGTTCCAGGATCATTTGTGGAAAGGTTATCCTTACCCCATTGATTTGCCTTTGTACCTTTGCCAAAAATCCATCAGATATGTGTAGGTTTATGGACTCTATTCTTTCCAGTGATTGATGTATCTTTCTTTACCACCAGTATTTCAGTGTCTTAATGATTACTGTAGCTTTTTAAGTCTTGAAATCTCATGGTTAAGTCCTCCAACTTTGTAGTTATTTTGTTTTTTTTCAGGTCCTTTACATATAAGTTTTAGAATCAGCCTTTCACTTTCTACAAAGAAAGCTACTAGGACTTTGATTGGACTTGCATTGGCTCTATGGATCATTTTGGAGAGAATTGACATCCTAACAATATTGAGATACATACTTTATCAGGTTGAGGAAGTTTCCTTCTATTCCTAGTTCACTGAGTTTTTGTTTTGTTTTGTTTTAATTTATCTTTATTGCTGAAAGTATTACAGATGTCCCTTCTTTTTTTCCCCCATTGATGCCCTTCTCCCTGCTCCCACACTTACCCTCCACCCCCTTCACTGCACTATTGTTTGTGTCCACTGGTTATGCATATATACAGATAAGCTCTTTGATTTATCTTTTCCCTCTGAGGTTTGTCGATCTGTTCCCTACTTCCATATCTCTGGATCTGTTTTGTTTGTCACTTTATTTTGTTCATTAAATTCCACAAATAAGTGAGATCATGTGATACTTGTCTTTTTCTGACTGGCTAATTTCACTTAAAAGAATTCTCTCCAGGTCCTTCTGTGCCATCTCAAAGGGTAAGAGATCTTTCTTTTTTACCATTGTGTAAATGTACCACAGCTTTTTTTTTTTAATCCTCAGCTGAGGACATTTTTCCATTTATCTTCAGATAGAGTGAGAAGGAGAAAGAGAGAGAGAAACATTGACATGAGAGGGACACATTGACTGGTTGCCTCCCGCACCAGGGATGAACCTCAACCAAGGTACATACCCTTGGTCGGAATCAAACTCGTGACTCATTGGTCCACAGGCCGATGTTCTAACTGCTGAGCCAAACTGGCTAGGGCCCACAGCTTTTTTTATCCACCCATCTACTGATGGACACTTGGCCTGTTTCCAGATCTTAGCTATTGTAAACAGAGCTGCCATGAACATATAGGTGCTTATATTCTTTCTGATTGGTATTTCAGGCTTCTTAGGATATATTCCTAGAAGTGGGATCACTGGGTCATATGGCAGTTCCATTTTTAATTTTTGGAGAAAACACCATATTGTTTTCCATACTGTCTGTACCAGTCTGCATTCCCACCAGTAGTTTACTAGAGTCTTCTTTACTCCACACCCTCACCACCACTTGTTTGTTGATTTGTTGATGGTAGCCATTCTGGCAGGTGTGAGATGATACCTCATAGTCTATTTAATTTGCATCTCTCTGATGAGTAGTGAAGTTGAGCCCTTTTTCATATGTCTCTTGGCCATTTATATGTTCTTTTTGGACAAGTGTCTAGTCAGGTCCTCTGCCCATATTTTTTAAATATATTTTTTAATTGATTTTTTTAGAGAGAGAGGAAGGGAGAAAGAGATAAAAACATCGATGTGAGAGAAAAATATCAAGCGGCTGCCTCCTGCACGCCCCCTACTGGGGATTGAGCCCGCAACCCAGGCATGTACCCTGAGTGGGAATCGAATCGGGATCTTTCAATCCACTAACTACACTGGCTGGGCATTTTTAATTGGATTGTTCGTCTCTTTTTTTGTGTTGTATGAGTACTTCATATATTTTGGAAATTAACCCCCTT